GCACTAATTTTCAAACTGCTCCCGGCCCTCGCAGCTCCGTGCAGCTGGCACAAGGGTGGGTACCGGTGGGACTTACTAACTTGACCATGGTTCACAACGTTCCCCAGCATAGTCATGTAGCCAGCGACCCAGAAGAGATACTTCTTTCCTCTGCACATTGATCTCTGCTATATAAAAGGCCTTGAAACCTAACAATGTCACGAACAGGAATTTCATGAAAGTCGCAGATATGTTCTCCCCACAATTGTTCCTAAAGCGTACCTTGAGAAGAGCAAGCCTCATGTTGAATAACCACATAATCGAGCCAGGCAGGGTTTTCAGATTGTCTCGAAATTCTCTTAAACAATCCGGTCAAGACAATGGATGCTGACTGACTGCCCAGTTTCCGGAACCACAGCAATTGGGGAACCCGGGGTTTCTACGGCTTCCTTTATAAGCCTCTTCATTCTAAACAAAGCCACAACCTCACCAGGAACACACTGGCCTCCCTAACCACAAGTGGCTACAGCTGCAGCTGATGTATTCTATAATATGGAAGCCTTATTTGCTCTATTTTCAAAATCAAAACCAATCAGTTGTGGCTTCAGTATCTGTTCTGCACAACAGAGGTTCCACTGTGACTATAGATTTTATCAGACTGTACCTGCAAGACATACAGGAAGACTCAACATCTCCCTTAGTGTACAGTGGGGGCCCAGTGCACACCATGAGTGTGAGTTAACACCTGGCGGGACATAGACTAGGTACTCAATAAAAGGCATTGTATTAACACTGCTAAACTTCTTTTGTTTAATATATTTTTTAAATATTTATTTTTGAGAGAGAGAGTGTGTGTGTGTGAGCAGGGGAGGGGAAGAGAGAGAGGGAGACACAAAATCCAAAGCAGGCTCCAGGCTCTGAGCTGTCAGTGGGGCTCCAACTCACGACCCTCGACATCATGACCTGGGCCAGAGTTGGACGCTTAACTGACCGAGTCACCCAGATGCCCAACAATACTGTGCTTCTAATGCCATCAGGTGCTGCCTAGAATCTGGATTTTGTAGCCAACCCCGATTTCAAATGCCTTCTATAAATGTTCTGTTTCTTAAAATTTTATTTCAACAGAGACAGCCTGTGAGGTTAAGAGATAGATAGGTGACATACCTTTGAGCTGCTCTATAAACACAGGTCCCAGAATCAGGGGGCATATTGCGTGGGATGCAGCAATTTGTGGCATGTGGGACACGAGAGCCCTTGTGGGTGGGGTTGGGTGACAAGTCTTCAACCACTATCCTTTCTGGGCTCCCTGTCTGCCCTGGAGCTGGGGACAGGGAAGAGGTGATGCTTTATTTCCTAAGGGTCTACATGCTGACCCAGGGAACTCTGTTCTTTTACAAGCACATGAACCACAGA